GTTCCAATACAATGAAGTAGAAATTTTTGCTAATCCCTAGTCCCCAGTGAATGTATCTGAGTTTATTCTATGGGTTTTGTGGGACATAAAATAAGATGTAATTGGACATGGAAGGTACCAATACATTCACTGCATTCACAGGCACTACCAAATTCACTGCATTCGTACAGATTCTCTGCTGCACAAATTCACTGTTATCTCCTAAGGGCTCATATCTGGGAACAGGCTGCCCCACCAGGACTACACTCTGATTTGTTAGGAGCCCACTGGCGTTTACCGATGTCTGAGCTGCCACAGAAGGCATCTGCACAGTCACTGCACTAACAGGGTTTTTGCTCTGCATGAGATCACTGGTATGTGACGAGGCATGACTCGATGATGAAGGGTTTGCCACCTTGCCTGCTACTATGTGTTTCTTTCTCATGTGTTTTCTTTTATGTCTAAGAAGGCAGGACATGTAGGGGAAAGTTTTCCCACACTCGTTGCAGCCATGCCGTCTCTCTCCTGTATGAGTTCTCTGATGTATACCAAGCTTGTGCTTTGTGGGGAAAGCTTTTGAACATTCATTGCATTGAAAGAGCTTCTCTCTTTTGTGACGTTTCTGGTGTCTAATGAGACTTGCCTTCTGGGTAAGAGATTTTCCACATTCAGTGCATACAAAGGGGCTCTTCCCTGTGTGAAATCTCTGATGTGCTATGAGGCATGACTTCTGGCTGAAGCCTTTACTACATTCACTGCATACATAGGGTTTCTCTCCAGTATGAGTTCGCTGGTGAATAATGAGATTTCCTTTCTGGATGAAGCCTTTCCCACAATCACTGCATACATAGGGCTTCTCTCCAGTGTGAGTGCGCTGATGAATAGTGAGAAATGACTTCTCCGTAAAGCCTTTCCCACATTCTCGACATATATAGGGTTTCTCTGCCATATGAATTTTCTGATGTTTATTAAGCTGTGAATTATACAGAAAGGCTTTGCCACATTCTGTGCATTCATAAGGTTTCTGTCCTTTATGAGTTCTCTGATGATGTTCAGTGAGCTTGTACTTTTTAGAGAAGGCTTTTCCACATAGACTGCATCTGTGAGGTTTCTCTCCGGTATGAATTCTCTGATGATGAATGAGCCAAGACTCCTTGATAAAGGCTTTCCCACATTCACTGCATATGTGTGGTTTCTCTATTTTGTGAGTTTTCTGGTGCTTAATGAGTTGGGACTTAGTAGTGTTGGATATCCGACTCCCAGGGAATTTAGATTCAGTATTAAATTGCTCAGGGTTAGCCTGGAGAAAAGTTTTTTTACCTCTGTCAAGTGTAGCAGAGTTCTTTATTTCACAGTCTCTGTTCTCATTGATTAAAGTCAAACCCAGTTTCACAGCTTTTTCAGTCAAGTCAAATGTATCACAATTTTGCTTTAAAGGAAAATGTCTTTTGTGCTGATGAACAGTATTTTCCAATGCATTATGCTCATTACATTGCTCCAGTCCATCCATCCTTTCCTTTTCTTGGTTCCCAGGTACATAATCATCAAATTTCCAGAGTTCTAGGAAAGAAGAAAACAATGAATCTTTCTATCATCTCCATTAGAAATAAATTGATTAAGAAATGCTTTGATGTAAGGGTGGCTCTTTACCTACAAGTGTATATAAAATTCCACCTTCAATGTTCTTTGCACACTGATAAAC